AAGTTGACGAAGATAATTTAGGCTAGGATGACCAAATCGACTATGAAGAAGCAATGGTGTGGCAGTGGTGGCAGTGCAAACAATATTGGTGTTGGCTAGATGATATAACTCTTGTGATTCATATCTTGTGCCAATCGTCTTCCTCAATTGCCGGTCCTGCACAGTCACAGATTTATTGGAAAATATAATTTCACAATTAAGATGTGAAGTGAGTTTATGGACAGAGATCAAGTTGAAGGGGCAATCAGGAATATACAATACAGAGGATAATGAGAGAGAAGGGGGTGGAGAGGCATTTCCAATTCCTATAGCTTTACCTATTGACCCATCACCAAAGGTAACAGATGGAAGAGAATTGGAAAATGTCAAGCATGTAAAAAGTGAAGGATTACCAGAAATGTGATCGGTAGCACCTGAGTCAAAAATCCAAACAGGTGTAACTGAGAGGCCAAGGAAACATGAGTTTTGTAGGTGTAATTGAGGTTCGAGCAGGCTGGAATTCTTCATACTCATACTGTAAGAGAACATGGGAACATTTAGCTTCCTTATTGACTTCAGCTACACTGACCGTGCTTGGTTTCCCATGTAGGTTCCAACATTGATCATGTGTGTCATGGCTTGTTGCAATAATCACAAAAACGTTGCGTACCTCTGCCACGGCCTCCTCCTCTTCCGTGAAGATTGTCTCTTCCTCTACCTCAACCACCCCGAAAGTGAGAAACAAAAGTAGCATTGTTGTCTTCTGTGACTGAGGTCCCTCGAAGTAGCCAAGTAAAAACTTCAGTAATGTTCGGCACATTTTTCTCGCTCAAGATCTGACGTCGAACCTCTTCAAAACCTGCTCCTAGTTTGGAGAGTGTCAAGACTACCCAGAATTTTTCCCTTTGAGCTTGTTGTCTTTCAATGGATTCTTCCATTGGCATAAGTGTATTAAATTCTGTCATTAAGCCTTGAACTTTCCCTAAGAAAATTTCCATTGACATCCCAGATTTTGTTATTTTTAAAATTTCATCAACAACTGAATAAAAGCGAGATATGTCATTTGTATAGAGAGAAGTAAAAGATGAAAGAAGGAAGATGTGCGTAACAATGGAAGTTGTCAAATAACAGAAAATGTATAGAGAGAAATACAAAGGCAATTTAAGAGTGCCCACTCTCGAAGTCCCAAGCCCAAATAACAATTCCAACCTACTCTCTATTCTACCCTCCACCTCTATTTATACTAATTCTAATACTCTTCTTATTTCTTATTATTCTATTTAGGTCCCTAACACTACTCCCCCTTTGACAACCACCTTATCCTCAAGGTGGGTCATAGGAGACAGTCCTGACAACCCGCTTCTTCCTCATCTTTGCGCCTCGTCCTTCCCAATATCTTCCAAATTTCAGGACCCTGAACTTCATGAACTGAACCATTTCCATCACTTTTACCATAGTGAGAAGTTGAGGCAAGGGCATGTTTTCATGATGCTTCAGTACAACCTTGTCAGCACCAAGTGCTACAACCCCTACAGAACCATTCTCATCGGGCAGTTCCTCAATAATAGCATAAAAAACTGGCTGCCACTCCTCCTGGAATTGGATACCTACAGATCTAGGTACTTCATAGAGGTTTTCTGCACCACACTCTTGAGAAGTCATCATGGTTCGGACATTCCATTTTCCTTCAGTATCAAGAATGATGAAATCATATCCAGTAGCTTCATCCTTTGCCATCAAACTGCAGCCCTTAACTTCCATCCCAGATTTGACGTTGGAGTGAGTAAAGACTGATCCTTCAAATGCACAAATCTGTGGATCATTCTTTCCCAATTGCCTTGCTAAAGTACCATGGAATATTACCACAACCTTATCAATCGCTTTGATGTCATCCATTGGTAAAGGCTTCAGTAATAGTGTTAGAAGATCTAGAGAACCAGCTACTAATTCTTCAAGTTGTGTTAGGGGTTTAGTCAACATTGCCCTAACATAAGGTAAAATGTGAACAACCAAAGACTGTATGTTACCAAGGGCCCTAATAGCTAAAGTTTGTTGGTAACTCTTTGGGGCCATCCTTTGTAAAAGCCTTGTGAATGATTCATAAACCTTAGGCAGTAACACGTTATGAGCTGTCATTGCAGAGATGTCTCTCAACATTAGATAACTTTCAAGCGCTTTAAATGGATTTTGTAAATCAAGCTTGGAGTAGTCTAACATTCTCTCAACCCAGGGCTGCAATTCTGGAACAGATTCTCCTGGAACAGTCTCAACCTCTTCCTTCTGAGCCTCTGTACCAGGTCTCTTTTTACCAATGCATGAATTTTCTGGCCATTGGATAATCTGTCCTTGCTCCTCGGTTTCGTCATTTTTATTCAGTTTCTTGATTACAGATTCCGTTGGTTCCATCTCAGTTTTATTTACTGACTGGGCCAATTCTTTTGCAGGTTGAGAAACTTGTGAACTCATCAATCCTGATAGTGAAGAATCTGGTGATTGCGAGTTGGGGTTTTCTATTTGGAACCATTTTTTAGAATGGTAATGCGAAGAGCTATGAGAAGAACGATGCGAAGAGATATGCGAAGACCTCGATGACTCTGGTTTTGCTGTCTTCTCTGTCTTCTGCTGGTGTCTAGGTGGAAAATCCCTAATCAAATCTTCTTTTAAAGCCTCCCGACTATCTTCTCTCTTTTGAAAATCCCACCATTGAAACCAGCCATCTGCAGCTTCCCCCATTGCCTTTGCTGCAATGTCCACTTTAGATCTTTCTGCAATAGCTTGGACTTGAAAATATCTTTCCATCCTCTCTATCCATGTGTACGCTTCAACCTCGTGGAATAGAGGTAATTCCTCTGTCTTTGACCTAGCTGAATTCCGAGAAGCGACTTTAGACGAAGAAGGTGAACTCTGATGGGAAGAGCGATGATATGAGTGATGATTAAAACCTTGCGAAGAAGGATGCGAAGAACTTTGCGAAGAGCGAGGGAGATAACTCTGCGAAGAAACCTGCGAACTGGGAGGAACTATTCGCATCTGCGAACGGGAAGGAACTGTTCGCAACTGCGAACTGGGCTCTTGTGCTTGCGTCGACGCGGACGGACTGCGAGAAGAAGTTTGCGACCAATCCTGCGAACTCAAAGAAACGGTTCGCGACTGCGAACTGGGAGACGAAGTTCGCGACTTACCTCTGGCTTCAGACGATGTAGGACTCTCATGTACAGTGTGACGCCTTGAAGTTCTTGATTTTTTTCGTTCATGTCGAGCGTTCTGCTGCAGGATCAATTCGCGCCATTCCGCCATCTCTTTCTGCCTTTCCTCGCGATAGCGTTCAAAATTGTGTTCCAGGATCTCCAGTCTACTTTCCATCGTTCCTTCAGTAGCTGACGCTTTAATACCAATGTTAGGTACATGGCTAATTCACAGTAATTTCAAGAAGTAAAAGATGAAAGAAGGAAGATGTGCGTAACGATGGAAGTTGTCAAATAACAGAAAATGTATAGAGAGAAATACAAAGGCAATTTAAGAGTGCCCACTCTCCAAGTCCCAAGCCCAAATAACAATTCCAACCTACTCTCTATTCTACCCTCCATCTCTATTTATACTAATTCTAATACTCTTCTTATTTCTTATTATTCTATTTAGGTCCCTAACACCAGACAGAAATACACGTCCTGAAAGGGCGGAACATTGGAACGATTTCTGGTGAGAGAGACTGCCATAAGATGCTGCAAAGTTGGGCATCAACGCGTTTCCAGACTTCTCTTTAATAATCAATTGAATCAGCTTATGTGACCAAATGGTCATCCACTCCTTGTCCCATGAATTATTGGTAATAGTAGGGTTTGCAGAAAGATTTGGGATGTAAACGGGAACATGAGTGTTTTCACTTTTCACTACTGCTTGTTACGACCATGATGAAAAAATTAAAATTACTGAAATTATTCGCCGCCGAAATTCGCTGGAGAGGGACGAACACCTTGAAGATTGATTCACCAGAAAATATGCTCAAAGTCCCCTCCACGTGTAGAAGGAATTTCAGACCATACCCAGGGCTTTGATACCATGTTGATTTAGGGAGAGAAGCTTTTTTGTATTACTCATATTAGATCATACATTATGACTCCCATATATATAGGGAAGTAAATGATACATTAAAGAACAAAAGAAAACTGAAAGTCATAAAGGAAAATGAAAAGTTAAACTGCTGGAATGTCTGGAATATAAAAAGGCATGTGCTTTAAATGCTATTTCCAACAATCCTTATTTTTTTACAGTGATATTGACGCCCTATGAGTGCATCAAGGTACTACGCTGCCATCTCCAGGGACTACAGCCGCCATCGCCGGGGACTATATATCGCCACGGTCCTCCACCCGCTGTCTTTTACATTCTACTCGTGCTCGCTGCCCTAAAGTAAAATCCTCGCAGCTCCGACGGCGAGGCTCCCCTTCTATGGAGGCCCGATGCTTCCAGAAGACTCTTTTGCTGTGTCGGCGTAGGTTTGCTTGGTGCTAAATGGCTAAGACGCCAAGACGGCTGCCGGAAGGAACACTTTCATGCTCTCTGATGTCAAAACACCCTTAATTCCTTCAATGACTTCACATGTGATGGCGACCTTGTATGCACAACGAGTTGTACGCGAAGCCGAAGATGGAAAGAAAAGAAAAGAAAAGAAAAGAAAAGAAAAGAAAAGAAAAGAGAAGAGAAAGAAAAAGAAAGGGAAAAAGAAAATGAAATACCATGCGGGCCGCTAAGTGGACAGCCACGCGTGTATCTAACTGGGAAACCGGTTTATGACCTCCTAAATCGCTCAATTGAGCGTTGCTTAGTAGTACGAGGGTTCAATTGAGTGTTTTAAAATACAAGGGCCTAATCGACATTTCCCGTATAATACGAGGGCCAAATTGACAGTTTTCCCATTTTTCATCAAATCCAACAAATTCAATCCCCGATTTAGTTACCAAATGGACACTAAATTAACAAATTAAGATCTTGCAAGCCATCCGTATGGAAAAAGCACTTACCAATGTATATGGGAAGGAAATATAAGACCGGTGCATGACGGAAATGTAAAATGGATTCTTTGACCGGAAAGATTTTGCTCTTTCAACGGCATTTTTTTCCTTCCTAACCGATCTATATTTATACTTCCGGTATGCTCTAACACCTGCAAGATTTGTAAATGAAAACTAGTATGATTCATATGAAACATATTAACAATATTAATCATATTTTCGGGAAAAAATACGTAGTGTATAGGAAAGCACGCTGCCAACATTAAACTTTTTGTTGCTCGGGTGACAAATTTTTTAATAGGGATGTTGGGATATTGACCTAGAGGCCCAATACCCAGATCGAGAAGGCCCAAGATATCCGGCCCAAGCAACGGGCCCATCACTCTATGATGAATAGATCCAGTAAGAAGACATACCGAACGGAGTTCGGCCCAAATAAAGGTTGGCCCAGTAAGAAGATATACCGAACAGGGTTCGGGCTATATATCGTACTTGGGCCAATTTGACAGCATCTTCAGTACAACCCAACATCCCGTTCGAGCAACGGCCAACCAGCAAGTGGCCAGGTGCAATTAATGTCAGACTATGACATCAGCAAGTGGAAGCATGGATGACCAAGTCGGTGGAACAACGGCCAATCAGCATGGGGCAGCCCATGCTCTCCATTAGTATAAATAGAAGGTTTCAAGTCATTGTAAGGGTTAGCATTTCAATACTCAGGCTCTAGAATAACATCTTTGCTCTTATTTCTTGTATTAAAGCATTGTTTCCGACTTACCGATCGGGAAATTCCTGTAATCAGACTGGTTAATTAATACAAGTGAGCTTTCGAGTGTTAGTTAGTTCAGATCTTATATTTTTTACACGCTTTGATTCTGTGCCATTCCTGATATATCCAAAGTTCGTGTTGGGCTTTCGGATCTACGGGATTTACACTCAACATTGGCGCCGTCTGTGGGAAACTTGCAAAAAGTTTCACTTTCAAATCATCCAAAAACCTCTATTTTTCAAAAATGGTCAGAATCAGTTCCTATCATACAAGCAACGGTTCACACCGTCACAGGAGGAGTCACACCCCGGGGAGTCAAAACCCTCAGGGACAATCCAGTCGAGGATCGTATCCTTGTTTTGATGGGGATTTTGTGATTCCCGAATCTCTGAGAAGAAATCCTCAGGCCATGTGTGACATGGCCCAGGTCATGCAGCATATGGCGAACGAAGAGGAAGGAGGTTCCAGCTTTACAGGGGAGACTCCACGCACGGAAACAACCACAGCGTCATCTCGTTCGCATGCCCATCGGGATAATCGACGTAGCGCCCCACCAACAGCGCACCACAGTCCCAGTGACCGAACCCCGATCGGGTCACAAGCTAGAGGACCAACTCCCGTTGGTCATCATTTCCAGTATCCCGAGCGGGAAAATACTAGGGCCCCTCAACGACAATGGGACCGGGACTGTACGGATATGAGGGCTCCACCACCGCCCCCTTTGACGGCCCAGGAGGAAGAAATGGCCGAGATGAGGAGGCAAATGAATGAAATGCGAGACCAGATGAACAGGGCGCCTGTACAACCTGCCCCGGTTCAGCTGGGAATTACTTCCCCGTTTATTAGGGAACTCATGTACGCAGATATCCAAGGGGGTGCCAAACCCCCGACCGGCCAAATCTATGACGGGGTGGGAGATCCCCACGTACATCTGAGGAGTTACCAAGGGGGACTCATGCTGCTAGGAGCACCCGAGGCCGCCATTTGCCGGTTGTTTTTCAGCACGCTCAGGAGGCCTGCCCAGGAGTGGTTCGGGACACTGCAACCCGGGTCAATCAACAGCTTTGCCGAGTTATCGGCGTTATTCTTGGCTCAGTTTGCTTCCAGTGCCAATCCCAAACGGCACTTCAGCTATTTGACCAGCGTGAAGCAAAACGCCAAAGAGACCCTCAATCAATTCCTGAAAAGGTGGAGGGATGAAACTTTAACGGTGGGAAACATGACGGATGATACCGCCATTACCCTATTCACAAATGCTCTCCGAACGGAGGAGTTGTACAAAGAGTTGAAGAAAAATCCGGGTACGGTGTACGCCGAGGTATTAGATAGGGCTCGCAAGCATGCCGCCCTAGAAGAGGAGATAATAATCAGGGATAAGGTCATTGTGTCTGCTGCCCCGATCAGAATGGCCGATCGACTGGGTCCTAGCCCAGCGGCCGCTTCACCTCCCAAACAAGGGAGATTTACACCCCTGGTCCTATCAGTAGCGACCATCTATCAGCACGAGAGGGACAATATTCCCCTCCCGACTGATTCTGGACAGTTCATGGGAGCGGATGACAATGCCATCTGTAAATATCACAACAGGAAGGGTCATACCACCAATGCCTGCAGGGCCCTACAAACAGCCATTGAGGATTTGATCCGAAGGGGTCATCTGGGCAAATATGTAAATAAAGATCCAAATGCTATGGGCACGTTGAAACCGGTCAGGAAACCTAATAGCTGGCGTCGGGATGCCCAACGTGACGCCCAGCCTCAAAATGATGTGTATGTTCCCCCCAGAGATGAACCAGAGGGCTCGGGAGGCCCTGGAAAGAAACCTCGGATGGAGGTCAAGGTTATATTCGGGGCGGGGAGACAGGGGATTCGAATGCCGAACGAAAAAGGTTCGAGCAAAGTCTGTATGTGGGATCCGTCTCCGCTCCCCCCAGAAGAAAGGAAGGACAGACCCGATCACGTTCGGGCCAGCTGATTTTCCCAACTCTCCAAGCCCACACAGGGATGAACTGGTGGTAAGCATGTGTATTGACAATGCTTTGATCCGCCGAGTACTGGTCGATACCGGGAGCAGTGTGAATGTATTGTATCTACAATCATTCGAGAAAATGGGCCTACAAAGGAGCCAACTGACCCACCTACGGACCCCACTGGCAAGTTTCACCGGTAACTGCATCGAGGCTGAGGGGACCATCCAATTAATGGTTCAAATTGGGGATGAAACCCACAAAGCGTCACTCCGAATGACGTTCGTAGTCGTAGATATAAAGTGTGCCCACAATGCCATATTGGGCCGACCGAGACTGGAAGATCTGGAGGCAATAGCCTCTGTCCGCCACTCATGCATCAAATTCCCTACAGACACTGGGGTTGGGGTGGCCAGAACTGATCCGACAATAGCCCGGACATGTTATCGGGAGGCCCTGAAACAGATGAACACTCGTGGGATGCGGGTGAATACAATTGAGGTGGAAACCCACCGAACGGAGTTCGAGGCGCACCCAGAGACCGCCACCCTTCTTGAACAAATCAACCTCGATTTCCCCCCGAACCGTAAGGTGGCTATCGGGGTAGATCTGGAGGCTGATATCCGGGATGGCGTGATTGCCGTCCTAAAAAAGTTTCAGATACTGTTTGCCCGGGGGCCAGAAGATATGCCCGACATTGATCCGGAGATAATATGTCACAAACTTGCCGTTCGGTCTGATGCAAAACCAGTCCAGCAGAAGAAACAGTATCAAGCAACCGAACGGCGGGAATTCACAAAGAAGGAGGTGGCCACCTTGCTGAGAATAAAGCACATCCGTCCGGTAATCCACGTAGAATGGCTATCCAATGTGGTTCTAGCCCCAAAACAATCTACTTGGAGAATGTGCGTGGATTACTCTGACCTGAATAAAGTGTGCCCCATGGATCCCTATCCAGTGCCGAGGATCGATCTGCTAGTGGATGAAACTGCCGGATGTGAATTACTGAGCTTCATGGATGCTTTCCGGGGTTATCATCAGATATTCATGCACCCGGCTGATGCAGAAAAAACGGCGTTCGTTACTTCGGATGGCGTGTTTTGCTATATCGTCATGCCATTCGGATTAAAGAACGTAATGGCAACCTTTCAAAGGATGATCGGGATGCTGTTCAAAGAAGTGTTGGGTGTCACAATGGAAGCATATGTTGATGACATCCTGATCAAAAGCAAGAAGAAGGAAAACCATGTCCTGGACATAGAAAAGGTGTTCAGGATAATGCAAAAAGCAAATATGAGGCTGAATCCCAAGAAATGTGCTTTTGCTGTAAGGGGGGCAAATTTTTGGGATACATGATGAGCGAGAAGGGGATTGAGCCCAACCCAGAAAAAGTAAAGGCAATTGTGGATATGGAGGCTCCAAGGAATCTTAAAGAAGTACAGAGACTGACCGGCCGGTTAGCAGCCCTGAGCAGATTCCTATCCAAACTGGCCGATCGAGCTATCCCGTTCTTCCAGATCATGAAGAAAGCCAACCCTTTTGAATGGACGGCCGAATGCCAAACGGCCTTTGATGATTTTAAGACTTATCTGTCTTCCCCCCTGGTCTTGAAAAAACCTGAACCAGGGGAACATCTGTATATGTACCTTGCCGTGGCTGACCTGGCCGTAAGCACAGTCCTGTTGAGAGAAGAAGATGGCGTTCAACGGCCAATCTATTTTGTAAGCAAGGCGTTGAACGGCCCGGAAACCAGGTACACCTTGCTAGAGAAAAATGTACTGGCCCTGATAGCTGCCATTGAACTGTGTATACTACCCAGCCATTAGCCACCATCTTGAGAAATCCTATGACAAGTGGACGCATTACCAAGTGGAGCCTCCTGATCGGGCAATACGAGGTGGATTTCAAACCCCGGCCTACTATCAAAGGGCAGGCCCTGGCAGATTTCATTGCAGAATGTACCGCCCGGCCCTCAGAAACAGATTCAGAGAACAATGGGCTGGATAACTGGTGGAAATGTATGTGGATGGTGCAGCTAGTGCCAAGGGTTGTGGAGCTGGAGCTGTGATCACATCGCCCGAGGGGTTCAAAGCATATTATTCTATTCATTTTGACTTCAAGGTACCCAACAATGAGGCTGAATATGAGGCTCTCATTGCTGGTTTAAAATATGCAAGGGCCCTGGGTGCCGATCGGTTAAAATCAGATCGGATAGTCAGTTGGTAGTACATCAAGTAAACGGCACTGCTGAGGCCAAAGAAGAGAGGATGAAGGCCTACAAGGAGATAGTTGAGGAGCAGATACGTAAATTTGAACAGGTGGTGCTCGACCAAATATCCAGGATTGAAAATACTGAAGCAGATATCCTATCCAAGTTAGAAAATGCAGCGTTCGACGATCGGGCACAGGAGATCCC